TGGTGAAGCCATTTCATTTAACATAAGTAACTTATTTTTAATGCACTATTTTATAATTTTGAAAACCTTTTTTTTTTTTTAAGTTGGAGTCTCACTCTGCCACCCAGGTTGGAACTACAGGAGTATGCTACCACGCCCAGCTAATTTTTTTTATTTTTATTGTAGAGATTTGGTCTTGCCAAACTGCCATGGGCTCAGGCAGTCCCCTCACCTCGGCCTCCCACAGTGCTGGGATTATAGACTTGAGCCACTGTGCCCGACCTGAAAACCTCTTTAATGTCTGGTTTAATAGAAGTCAGATTCTCATATTTGTGCATTCAATCTGATGAGATACTGCACATCATTTAGCTACTGGAAAAACTCTATCCTACACTCATGAAAAAAGGAGAGAAAATGAGAATAAAAAAGGCACTTAAAATCTAACTATTATTATTATTTGAGGTGAAGTCTCACTTTGTTGCCCAGGCTGGAATGCTGTGGTACACTCATGGTCACTGTAACCTCTACCTGCTGGACTCAGGCAATCCTTCTGCCTCAGCCTTCCTAGTAGTTGGAACCACAGGCATGAGTCACCACTCCCAGATACATTTTTAAAATTTGTTTTAGAGATGAGGCCCAGGCTAGTCTTGAACCCCTGGGTTCAGGCAATCTTCTTGCCTCTGTCTCCCAAAGTGCTGGGATTACAGATGTGAGTCACTGTACCTGGCCTGGTCTTAGTATTATTATAAAAATAGTTTTGATCTTGCAGGTATACTTAAAAGGTCTCAAGGACCCCTACCAGTCTGGAAGACCATTCTTTGTTCCCAATTAAAGTGTCAGTTTGTTCCATAATATAAAACATCATAATGAAGAACAAAACGTTGAAAGAGACTTGTATTTGCCTTGGTTTAAATTAACTGTTTCTGAAGTGAAGCTGAGAAAGATATTAAAATTTTAGTGAGTTCACTCAGTTTTGATGAGCTTATTTCTTTGGTACTAATTGCCTTTCCTGCAATATGAAAGGTTATTCTTTTTGTGTAATTTGCCTTTTGTGCTTTCTGTTTATCTTGTCTTTGATTTTTTAAAAAGAAATAAAAAAGCACAGAACAAAGATTCTTCATTTATGAATAAGCCAAAGTTATTCATAATCATGTTACCTTCTATGTTTATTTTCAAATATCTTATTGTTGCTTTGAAAAATTAGGTAACCAAGTACTGTTTCTCAAGTACCCATGATCTTATTTTAATCAAGTACTTTGTTCCTTTTTGATAACTTTTTTGATTTTACCCTCTGAAGATCAGTCTTAAATTTAGAAGAAAAAAACTTCAGAATATATTTTACACACTAAAATTTTCTTTAACATTTCCTAGAAGGCCCCTTGGAAATCCTAGATGTATATACTTTTATCTTATAAAAAAATGCTGGAAATAGGTTTGTTTGATATGTTACTGTTTTAAGAGTTTCATGGGAAGAGCTGTCATATTAGAGAAGAGATGCTCAGTCTGCCCTCAGATTCAGATAGGCAAAATGTAATTAATATAAATATTTTAGAAATTGTTTGCTTTATGGCACATTCCTGGAGATTTGACAATGCCCTTGTTATTTTACTCTCAGAGGACACATTGATCAAAACTTGTGTGAAATACATACTGTATCTCAGTAGAGAATTTTACTTATCTTCTAGTCTATATTATTGGCTTCAGAAGTAAATTAAGCAGTCATTAAGGATCTGTCACCTATAGAGTTTCTGTTTTACTTTGATGCTTGCCTGAAGGCTCTTCTACAAGCTACAGTCAAGGGTTTGTGTCTGCAACAGAGACAGATTCAGAGCATTAGGGAAACGGACTGCAGGAGGCACTTTAAACCACTGACATATCAAACAATAAGCCTCTTGAGCACAGGCTTCTGAGGTGATATCGCTTAGATCACCAGGGGGCTGAGTCAGAATTTCAGGACACTCTCTTAAGGAAGCAAATGGCTTACTTCATGGATGCAGACTGCTAACTCAACAGTCAGCAGAACAAGAAAGATGTAGGCCTAAATGCAATGTTAAGGAAAAATTTATTGTGTTTATTAGTTTGGAATATTGCTAATAAGTTTCAAAGATTCTAAGGTCAGCTGGGCTCGGTGGCTCAGACTGTAATCCCGCGCCTTTGGGAGGCTGAAGTGAGTGAATTGCCTGAGCCCGTGGGTTTGAGACCTGCCTGGGCAACTTGGCGAGACCTCATCTCTACAATAAATCAAAAAATCAGCTGGGCGTGGTAGCACATGCCTGTAATTCCAGCTACTTGGAAGGCTGAGGTGGAAGGATTGCCGGAGCCCAGCAGGTCGAGGCTGCGGTGGTCGGGAATGGCCACTGCACTCCGGT